AGAGTGAGATGAAAAAATAATATTGAAAAAAATGTCATGTATTTCACTAAAAGTCGTATGTATTTATCATTTCAGTATAATTAAACATAGGGTAAATTACAAATACCCCCTGAGGTATGGTCAAATTACAAAAAACCCCCTCTTGTTTGGATAATTACATCTACCCCCTCAACTATGATTTTTTCTTAGACCTCCACCTTTATGGTGCCAAATTCAACATAGTCATCTAGATTCCGTGAAATGTGCTCTAGTTTGTACTCTTTTTGTGTAAAAAATACAGTTTCCGATGCACCACAAACTGATATATACAAGCTAAAAATCACATATTATGGTCATCTTGCTTCATAATGTAGAGTTTGAATGGGATAAAACGGGTACAAAAGTGATAATATTCCATATAATCTCGAAGATTCCACTAAATTTGATGAATTGAGGGGGTGGTTGTAATTATCCAAACAGGAGGGGTGTTTTTGTAATTTGGCCATACCTCAGGGGGTGTTTGTAATTTACCCTTAAACATATGTAATCGATCATGAAACTAATTTCGATTAAAAAAAATCCTTAATATTAATTAGGAGAAGTTTTCTTGGAGGGATTTAAAACCAATTATTAGAAGTCAACGTTTTCGATCCCAAGGGTTGAATTTTATATACAACGTTGAATATAGCACGTTTACAACTTGATATTATTATTATTTTTTACTTACATAAATTAAAATTGAAAAATAAATAAATAATATAGTTGATATATATAATATTCATCGAGTTTCTCTCTTCACATTAGGGTTAACTAGTATTTTTTTCCCGGATATTATTTCAAAAGTGAAAAAAAAAAATCAATTTAATACATAATAAGAAAATGTAATACATTAACATAGTAAAATTTAATAATATAGTATTATTCATATTTTATATAACATTAATTTTTTTAAATCTTACATATTAAGATTTATATTCCAAATATATAGGTTTAGATACAAATCGGATTTCTATCTTTATCTAATAAGATTTGAGATATATTGATGAAAAGCAGAAGATTGATAATTGTTACAAATTAGTATAGAAAAAATATTAAAAATTAATAATTACAGAAATACCATTAGGGTTTTTTAGGGTTGCCCAACGTTTCTTTCTTTTATATATAAGATTTCGACACTAGCTAGTAAAAGAATTATTTTTTTTTTATTTTTTTTTTAAATAGCTTACACTTTCAAACTTTCAAGGGTTAGATGAGTTGTTTAATTATTCTATGGCCTGATCGATGTCAAGTTGGAAAGTGCAGAAATCATCGTATAATTAATATTTAGCTAATTTATCTTTAATCTTGTTTAGCCAAATTGATAATTGACTAATTGTAATTAACTGGTCATTTCTATTTACACGTCTCCCAAAATTTTAGTTTCACATAAGCGCAGATAAAAAGAAAAGTTGCTAGATATTTGATTTATTCATATTCATACTAACAGTTGAATATTTAGAAATTAATACAGTTAGGATCAATCAAATTTTATTAATTCAACGAAATGTTAATTTAATAATATATTTTTTTTACACGTTGTCTATAAATTGGAATCGTGGGAACATATTATTTAAACGAGATTATTAATTTTTTGAGTTTTTATTGTAAATACACGATAGTCTAATAAAAATATCTATTTATTTCTTGTGTGTGCTCTCTCTCAACTTGTCTCTAAAGGGTAATACCAATTATTTATGAATAATTAATTTAAAATTTAGTTATAAAATTATCTCAACATGTAATTGTCAATTTATAGTTTTATATTTTTTTAAACTAATTTTAGATAACAAAAATAAAACTCTTGTAAATCTCCAAATATGTAAGTTATCAAAATAAAATATTTTGTTTAAATGCACTCAATTTTTTGACGTTAACTTACAAACTACATCTTTTAGTATATATAAAATTACACATAAAAAAATTAATTTGACCTTTTGGATAGAAAATAACTATTTTATTTTGTATATATATTTTTATAGTTTTTTTTTTTCTTTTAGAATTTTTATACTTATAATTTTTATATGGGGTTGCCAAATTAATTCTATTATCATTTATCAAGGTACAAAATAACTTTTTTTTTTTTTGGGGGGGTTTTAATATCTTAAATTGGCCCTCCAGATATTTTAATGTAATTTAAGATCCAATCAAATTTCATTAATTGGTAGCAAATCTATCTATGCATTGAAATCTAGGTCTAGGTCAATGACCGGTAACCATGGAGACACAAACAAGTAGCCGGTACTCCTTGAACCGAATTTTGACTTCTAAAAAGACAAAATCAGCCGAAAGAGCTTTTTACCTCCGGTCACCAGATTCAACTGTGGTGGGACAAGTTTGACCGGTAGCCCGTCTGACCATGATACTTTTGTAATATATATCACACTTTCAAACTATATATGCCCTTATTATATTCCAACTAATTTATAATTTTGAAAACAAAAATCAATGAATTGTTATAACAAATTATTCCATCCATTTCTTTTTAACTGTTTTTTTTAGCTAATTTTATTTTTCTCATATTAAGTGTTACTTTAGAATTTCAGTGTAGGATAAAATTTGTTTCCTCCAACTTTACCCGAGCATTAATGACAAATTAATGAAGTATTAGATAGAAGTTGTAAAACACAAAGGGGTAGTTTGGTCAAATACCCCTTTTTCCTCCAAAAAAAATTAAGGCTATTTAATAACTTTCTTAATTAGTGTTCATTTATCTTGACGACACTTAAAATAAACATTGAAAGTAGAAATTTATTCTATGTTACACTCTATGAACTTCATCGGATTATATCCCACTATACATTCATATATACACGTATATGTGACGTATAAGTGTATATTATTGTGTCTAATATAAAGATAACATCAATTGTAGCATCTACCTTTTTTTTATTTTTTATTTCTTTTAAAAAATGATAGTTACCGGTTCCTCATGAATTTCTCTCTTAATATTTCATGAAAACCGTATAACTTATTAATTCTAGGTGCAAAGTGTTTACCAACGAGCTACCTATCTTGACATTATAGCGTCTACTTACAGAACTCAAATGACATATATATTTCAAATGCTTATACATAAATAAATAAATAAATAAGCTTAATTAAAGGGTGGTGGGGACCGAATTTTACGGCTAAAACCTCTCTCTATATACAAATATAATTACATCAAGTAGTATATGTATATACATGTTGCCTCAAAGACTTAAACGTTGAAGTTGAATTCTTCAAGATGCATTTTATATTATGCATTAATATGTATTATTTTGAACTTATACTTGTATATATATATATTTATATAAAATATATAAAATAATTTATTAAGACATATTAATATGTATTAAGATATATATTATTATTAATATATAAAATATTGAATGCAATTGGGGCATTGACATTTTGTATAAGTGTGCTGTATGAAGCCATTTATTTTGAATTTATTTATATCAAGTCAAATAGAGCTGCCTTCCTTTATAAACAAGAAGACTAATGCTTTTCAGATCACACAAAGAAAAAAATTTAGACAAATTTAAGAGAGAGAAATAATTTTAGAGAGAGAAAGAGAGAATATATACATATAGCTATATATATATGTAATGGAGACTTCTTTGCAAAAATCCGATAATGAAGGTGCAGTCAAGGAGGAGAAGAAAGCTTCACATGATTCTAATGGCGATGAAGAAAGTTGTGGCGACGATATCTTTCTTCAGGTATTGTTTTCGTCGTCGTCGTCAAATTAATTAATTAATTATCTATTTATTAATTATTTTTTAGGGAAGTAAAAGTTTAAATTGTTAGCTGCAAGAGAAAAATCAGATATATTTTGTTCTTTAATTTTACAGTACTACTCAGTTAATTAATTAGTTAGTCTAATTTTTTTGATGCATGGGATTTATGTATTATGTGATTCTATGCATTATTATTAATTTGATGACCTAATTATTAATGTAATTATTAATTATTAATTGTATTTATCAGATTGGAACTGGAAAAAGAGCCCAAGATGATGATGGAATGAAGCCATCGTCTCCAAATCAGATGAATTTAAACTCTTGCAAGGAGGTATTAAATTAAAATATAAATGAAAATTAAATAACTAAATTAATAATATACATATTTATGTTTTAATTTTAGATTATTACATATTTCAGTATAAATAATTACATGCATATATTTGATATGATAACATCATAACACTACCTAATCTTCACAAATTATATATATTAATTTTTTTTAACTCTTAACATAAACTCAATTAGCTTGTATATATTTCATATATGTATAATTATATATGTAATTATATATATGTGATTTCAAAGTCATGGTCGTCGGCAAAGCTATATATATGTATATGTATATATCAAAACTAGCAGCCCTTTCTACACCATTGACCAATTATATAATAAATATACATATATGCAACTTGTTAACAAAATTAATTTAGACCAAGGAAATTTTCTATAGTAAAACAACGATTGGTTCATCAATTTGGTTCTTTCATGTAGACCACGTCAGCAATTATTAATTAGAATATCTATATAAATCAATGTTACTATTATTATTAATAATAATTTTATTTTAATTATTTTGTGGTTTTGATTTTATTGATCAATAGCTAGTTCCATAGATTTCTTACAATCTAATTAGTAGAATAAAATCTTAATTTCTGCAAAGTCAAACATAATTGATTTTGACTATAATTACAGGTTATTATGGCGCACATACGAAAGAGAAAGAGCGTCTGTGGTTATTCACTCTCACTCAAGATCTACATATACACATAACAAAAGCGGACAGGGGTAATATATATCTTTTTGTTGTAATATTTCAGAGTGAGATAGAGAGATAGAGATTTAGAGATATAGAGAGAGAGAGAGAGAGAGAGAGAGAGAGAGAGAGAGAGAGAGAGAGAGAGAGAGAGAGAGAGAGAGAGAGATAACTTACATGCATGCAATTTTATTTATATTTTATGGGATAAATTGTGCAGTTGGATCATCAACTTGGATCAACAAAAGCAGAAATGGAAGAAGTAATGGAAGAAAACCAAAGGCTGAAGATGTACTTGGACCAAATTCTCAAGGACTATAGAACCCTACAAATGCAATATCGAGACGTAATTCAACACGAGTCGAAACAAGAACACGAACAAGAACAAGAGCCGACCGATGACCTAATTTCCCTAACCCTAGGAAGAACGACTTCGGGTACAATTACCGAAAGAACAAAACCCGAGCGTCTTAAAACGCCAACTTTTAATAATAATAGTAATTTTGGAGGAGGAGGAGTAGAGAGTCAAAGGTTGACACTAGGGCTTGATTCTAGATTCAACCAAGTGCCGCCTAACAAGTCGTCACCACCTCCGCCGCCTGAAACAGCTTCCCCTCCGGCAAACCCTAGCCCGGAAAATAGCTTGGAAGAAATCCGTCAAGAAGCCGGAGATGCATGGCCTCCTAAAAACACGAAACACGCGAGATCGGATAATATTAGTGGTGGAGATCATGAAGAGATCTCACAACAAAACCCTACCAAACGAGCTAGGGTTTCTGTGCGAGTCCGATGCGATACACCTACGGTAATTAATTACATCTTATATTTAATTTTAATTTGTTTCCATATCAATATATCTAGGTAACATTTTATAATATCTAATTGAATTGAATTTAATTTGTATTACGTGTAGCTATTAAATGTGTGTAGATATATATCTAAATGAACTTTATTTTTTTAATCTTAATTTCATATCAATGTAGATGAATGATGGATGCCAATGGAGGAAATATGGGCAAAAGATTGCCAAAGGGAATCCATGCCCTCGAGCTTACTATCGTTGCACCGTCGCACCTTCTTGCCCCGTCAGGAAACAGGTAATTAAAAAACAAATTACAATAATCTCTCGTTTTTTTTTAGTACTATCGATTGCTTCGATTTTTATTTAAACTTAGAGACTTACAAAAATAATAATAATGTAATTTTCAACTTTGAAGGTGCAAAGATGCGCGGAGGACATGTCGATACTGATCACAACGTACGAAGGGACCCACAACCACCCGCTCCCAATGTCGGCCACGGCCATGGCTTCCACCACCTCAGCTGCCGCCTCCATGCTGCTCTCCGGCTCATCAACCTCCGGAACCGCCGCCACCACATCCACCACCTCCTCCTCCACAACCCTAAACGGGCTAAACTTCTATCTCTCCTCCGACAACTCGAGATCGAAACCCTACTACCTACCGAATCGCGATCAATCTAAAGACGTTTAAGCGCAACCA